AACCTGCCCAGCTAACTGGTGTAAGTGGTTGCCATGAGCTAGACGGGACCACCTCAAGCTCCCCTATTAGGGATGGCCCTGCTGGTAACCCTATTGAATTTGAATGGTCATTTGCAACTATATTCTTGGGGAAGCTTTACCTCTTGTTCTTCAATACTGGTAAGCTATTGCTACACCTTAGAGTTTTACAGTATATGGTATGTGTCAATTGCTTTCCTTTTTGTTTTTCAGAAAAATCACAGTGAAAATGACCTGTCCCAACAGGGGGGCTCAGAAGTTGATGGGCATAGGAACCTCAGTTATAGTCCATCGGTGCCAACTCTGGGAAATAAATCTGTAAGAAACAGACATAAAACTTTTCAGAGTTTTCACAAAAGGGTGAAGATTTTTTAGATGGCAGGAGAAGTGAACAATCTAGGACAGGGGTGGCAAACACAAGGCCCGCGGGCCGAATCCGGCCCGCCGGACCTTGTAATGTGGCCCGCACAGCAGCCAGGGCCGGTCCGCTATGCCGACTCTGTGCAGAGCAGTGTCTACTGTGGGGTAGCAAGCAGAGCCGGCACTACCACACAGTAGACACTAGAGGGCGCTGGTGGGGGAGGCCAGAGAAACACCTCCTCCCCCAGCCCTCTCTACTCTGTACTCTTTCCGGAGCTTGCTGGTGCTGTTCATGAAGCCTGCACTGTCCCGGTATCGGCCTAGAGATTAACATATGAATGGGCAGCGGTAATTTGCATATCAATTAACCGCGGCCCATTCATATGTAAATATCGCGGTTCATTCATATGCAAATCACCGCCCCTCCCCCGCTGCTAAGGAAGAGAAGGGAAGAGAAGACTGCAAGAACAAGGTATGTGTATGGTCAGGGATTTACTCTCCCTGCCGCCCCAAGGCCAGATTGCACAATACACCCCCCTCCCCGCCAAGAGGGTAACCATACTGCTGATGCGGCCCCCGATGAATTTGAGTTTGCCACCCCTGATCTAGGACAACATAGCTGAACTGGAAAGTAAGCTGAATTGGAGGATTTTTCCAAATCAGCTATGTTGTCCTAGATTGGTCACTTCTCCTGCCTTCACCAAACTCTTCACCCTTTTGCAAAAAACCCTATTGATCTTTTAACAGATATGTATCTTTTATCTCTGCTAGTATATACTATATATATTTCTGTAGCAAAAGTGCATGAGGCTCATTTCCCCAAGATGGATGAGTCATTTTAGCTTTACTTCTTATATTACCTCATTATCATTTTCTCATAAAAATGTTCAGATCACAAACATAACTATCATTAAGGTATGTAATTGTTATCTTTCTCCTGAAGCCCTAATTTCTCATGAATTGTTGTTTTATCTCACATAGTGTTGTTCTATCACTACCTCAAACAGCTCAGTTTTCTGCTTTCTCATAACTGACACCTATTGAAACTAAACTGAAACTTAAAGTTATCTCCAGCCTGACACTAGTGTTATTTCAAGGACTATTTCCATGTACTGAAAAATTAACAGGCAAACAAAACAAAAATAGTTTGTGCATTGAGTCTACAATCATAGAATCACTTTCCCATTGGTAAAACAGTAGGATATGAACATTGAAAAAAAAAAACAAAACAACAATTCTACTTCATAGACAATTGGTCACTCCAGGTTTGGGTTCTTTCTCTCTTTTTCGGTGGCATATTGACTGTATTCTCTTATAATTACATATGACCAGTTATTGTTTACTTAACATAACAGAGGTCCCCATTCACAATTGTGCAGGTGTGACAGCACATGAGCATGTATGTTTTTGTGTGTCAGGTATAGGGCAGCCGATTAATTTCAGTGGGCTGCCCTACATACGATAATTACATAGTCACTGCATAATTATTTCCAAATTCACTGGTACTTTGTTACCACACATTTTTGCGTGATTTCACGAAGATAATAGCACATGGTGCAGCAATCTGCATTGCTGTGCCATTAAAAATGAATGGCACTGTTGCACAGATGTGAATGGGTTTAATGTTTTACCTGCTCCTTATTCTAGTATTCATAGTTGATTGTGGCACTAAACCTTTCTCCTGCAGCTCTCGGGCAGCATGATGAGCCTGTTCAGTGCAGGTGAAATCCATTCACTAGATGTCCAAGGCTGGATCCAGTTTTCTCTTCAGTATGATTCACCCAAGAAGGAGCTGAGAATCCTGGTTATACAGTGCAGGGACTTGACAGCAGCCCACAGCCAGACCTCAAACCCGTGAGTTGGGAGGGAGCTGAAAGTGAAGTGTTAAAAAAAGATAGGTAAACCTGGAAGACAATGAGGTGATATTCATAAAAATTAGTGAGACTCCAGACATCATTTCACTATTTCAACACGCTGGTCATAAAAGTAAGAGATACTCCTAATGTGAAGCATTATTTGTGATTATTGGGACATTTTTTTTATGTGCTAGAGGGTGATCATCTATTTAAGCAGCTGGAGGTGCCTTTTTGTTGCATAGGGAGATTTTGGAAGCTCAGTGGAAATTTCTTTTGAAAGGGAGCCAGTCCTCACTCTTTAATGAAGAAGAGTGAAAGATCCAAAGTGCAGCCAATGTGCCGCTGTCACCTTTGGATAAGGATCTCAGCAAGTTCCTGTGTTTATTAGGCTTATGTAAAAATAGGCAGATACCTGTTAACTCATCATTCTGGGAAATATATCTGCCTGTTTATGGTCAGTATTAACTATTCAAGTCATTAGGTAGATGCTAGGTCTAGTAGGTTCATATTGGCCAAGTCAAATGAAATACTTGCTATGGGTTTGGTGGCACATACATGATGATGATAAGAGATGATACCTAGGTGAGCTGCAGGATTTGCAGATGTCATTAGTGCCAGGAGTTTAGCTCCAAAATCTACAGGCCTACAGAAGAACTAATGTACCACTTGTACAAGTAGGATTTTTTTTCTTGTGCTTCATGGGTCAGCCATGGCTGTCATGCTACATAGTGCGGTACCTACTGATTCCCAATAATCTTTAAGCAAGGCAGGGCAGACATCAAATTTATGTAGATGTTTGGTTTAGGAGGTCAGTTCATTTGCATATTAAAATCCGAACCCAGTTTCAGAAATTAAAACCAAATTGTTTTGAGATTTTGCTTACAGACATGAACAGCTGACAGAAAGTACACATACATCTTTGTTTAGCTAAGTAGTTTTCTTTAACACTTGAGGGGTATATTTATAAAAAAGTTAATCTGACATTCATTCAACTCTTTTTGGTGCATGTGTTTTTAAGTGACAGTGATTGATTCAACACCAGTGAATATTTGGCAAAAATTACATTCACTGCTTTATAAATATGCCCCTTGTTGTTTGAAATGGATAAATACATTCTTCTGTTTTGGCCATGACCCACAGTACCATTTCTTTCTTTCCTTGAACCCCAGTTATGTGAAAAGTTATTTACTACCTGATAAATCCGTACAAGGCAAGAGAAAAACAAAGGTAAAGAAGAAGACCTTGGACCCACTGTTCAATGAGACTCTGAAGGTTAGTCTAACTGTGGCTTTATTCTAAATAAGGTTTACCTACCAATCCTTGCTACAGAACTGTGCGGGCACTGTGTGTTATGTGTTTTGCAGCCACATCCTGTAAGTGGACACTAGAGAGACGACAATTGCTTTTTTCCTAGTACTTACTAAATCTCTGTCAGTCTCTGCAGTGTAGTTACACTTTGATGCACAGTTCATAAAAATAATGGCATAGCTAAGCTCTAAAATATACATATTAGACAGTCAAATTGTCTTGAGCTTTAAATAAATTTAAGTCTTCAACTCTTTTTAAACAGAATTCATTTTATTAAAATGATGCATAGGTTTTACTCTTTAACCTTCTGAGTAGCAATTGCACTTCAACAGTTAAACTCTAATCTTAGGTTTAATTTGTTATCTGGTGGGTACCAGGAGTATGGGTTATGTAAAGGTTCCATACTAAAATATGAAGACTTACTATGGCCTGCCATATAAATACACAGATCACATGCTAAATTCATGGCCAAATAGCACTCTAATACAACATTTTTGGCTAAAAATATAAATAAACAAATACATTTCACACAACAGTTGACTGGAAATATGAAACTATAGGTAGAGATAATCATTGACCATTTTAAAAATTACCATATACTTATGCCTATTCAATCTTTAAACCACAGCTGGTGGTAATGGTGTTTATTCCTGTATGACAGTACAAACTTGAAAGGTCGGAGATACAAAGCCGATTCTTAAACCTATCCGTATGGCATCGGGGATCATTGGCGAGGAACATTTTCCTGGGGGAGGTTGAACTGGACCTTGCAACCTGGGACTGGACCCAAACTCAGCCAGCTTGGCACAACCTTCAGCCCAGGGTAAGTTTTCATGATATGCCATTACCATTACATCGCTTGCCAAGATTCACTTAGCAATACATGGAACTAAATTCAAAGAAAAACTCTGAATGTTTGGGAGCACATCTGTTGTCCAGAGTGCCTCCAGGTGGCGCTGGAGACAAGCCCTGCAGTTCCTGTGCCCATCTTCAGGCGTCAGGAAGCCAGGAGCTGTTAGGTAACAGACCACCACTGGGTGGTGCCGGAACCTGCAGCTCCAGTGCTCACCTGCGGGTTTCTCCCAGCTGCCAATACTTAGCCATCACCTGGTGCTTCCTGGGAGGATATTTAAACCCTCCCAGCAGTCAGGATGATGGCTCAGTATCCTGCTATCATTACCTGTTTTGCAGTCCTGAACCCTGTTCCCTGTCTGCAGTCTTGTTACCTGTTTTTGCAGTCCTGAACCCTGTTCCCTGTTTGCAGTCCTTAACCCTGTTCCCTGTTTGCAGTCCTGAACCCTGTTCCCTGTTTGCAGTCTTGTTACCTGTTTGTAGGCCTGATTCCTGCTTGTTGCAGTCCTGTTGGTAATAAAAATAAACTGTATATAAACACATACTGCCTTGTCCGGTGTGGCCATACGTGTTTGGTCAACCTGTGTAGGTACTTGTATAAGGTGTGGGGACACCTGTGCCGGTACCCATGACAACATCAGTTTATAGCCAAATGCACGGGAGAGAGAGAATGAGACACACACACACTCTTTCACTCACTCTAACAAGAAGTCAAGCAGTACTATACTATGGGCAGTAATAAGGAAACAGGCTGTTATGAACTCAATTGTTTGGTTTAAGCAATCATTTCACGTATAGAGTTACACTGGCCATACACGTGGTAGTTTTGGAAGCTTTCCATCAGCTTATGACTGAAAAGGATTGCCTGGAATTGAACTTTTCAGTGTAATCTGCCTTTACCTTCTCGAGTAACCATACAATTGAAATTAGGGTGAAATGAAATAAAATTACCTTTCTTCTGCCATTGTGGTGATTTATTTCAGTTTTGCGGCAGTCCTTCAACATTCCTGATTATTTGGTGATTAAAGTGTATGTTAACCTCAAGAATGACATTCTATTTGCTCCCTTTTGGTCTGTCAAATATACCATTAAATGTGTTTTGTTATATCTGTTCAATAAATGCAAAAAATACCTGTTAATCCTGGCAGAAATCTTGTGAGCTGCTAACTTCCTGTGCTCTTTCCCTGTGCTGATTGCTATCATTTTATTTGATGAATTTTTTAAGGTTTCAGTTATTATGGCGAAGACATATAATCTATCATATTTCCCACAGACTCCACTCTCACCAGACTTCTTATATAGTCGAGGAAGGCTCAATTTGGCAGCAAAATTTACTCCCCAGGGAGCTGTGTGTGCGTTTTATGTATGTATTTTTTTTTATTATATATATATATAATGAGAGTGAAAAGGCAGAGAAACAAACATGATGCAGTAAGTGAAGAGTAAGTGTAAGGTAACTGCCAGTCAAATTTGGGTTTTGTTTTTCCCAAATTAAAGGTATCAAAAATCTGCAATATTCTGTTGTGGTAGAAACAAAAGGGGGGATTTATCAAAACTGGAGCAGACAGAATCTGGAGCAGTTGCCAGGGCAACCAATCAACTTTTCTTTTCAGTTTCTTCAGTTATGCTTTAAAACTGATAGAGAGTAGCTGATTGGTTGCCATGCACAGCTGCTCCAGATTTTGTCTGCTCCAATTTTGATACATTCCTCATGATTTTTACATCAACATTCATTAAATGTACAAAAAAAAATAATCAATTTTACATAAAGGTGTTAGATCATGGAATTGTTATACAACCGGTTGGAGATGCACATACACATGTATACCATTCAGAAAGATCAGGAATGACTGTTAATGTCCTCAAATAATTTACATGTAAATATATAATATAAATATGCGGTTCAGTATGCAGAGGTAGGTAACACAATAGTATCAAGTCATCTACCCCACAGTGTCTGAAAATTGTGTATGTTACTATAATGTTTAAATATATATTTTTCCAATTTAAGAGTAGGATTCATTTGCTGGTTTGGAACATGGAACATGGCTCTTGTATTAGCTGCCAATGTCTTTACCTCAAGGACAATGTGCCAAAGATAAAACAAAATGTGCACCCTTGCTTCTTTTGGAATGGCCCTCTGGATCAAACTTCCATATATTGTAATAGATTGCCCAGTCCCTTATCAGTTTTGGCCATTGCCATAGCATATAAAGCAGGATGCCTTCAACATCTATGACATATAGGGTCAGAGATTATTCCCATATCGAATAGTCTGTTTGGTGTATAATGGGCAAGAAATGTAAAATGATAACAGAGTAAATAACAATAACATACTGTATGCCCCATTTGCAGATATGTTTGCCACACTTATTAAAGTAGCACTATCAGAAATCTGGACAATTCCAACTGAGCATGTGCTGACAAATTAGAAAAAGCAGAGGTTACATTAAGGGAAAACCAAAAATGTTCAGTTGAACTAGCTGAAGTTTACTGCAAATTTTTTTTTTGTAAAAGATGATTTTGAATGCTTTCTTCCTACCTCCCAAGAGTCCCTATTAGACCATTGAAATTACAGACCACTTTAGTGAACAATAGGAAGACTTGGTTGACAGCAGTCTTTGTGATCAAGTTCCTTTGCCCAAACGCATGCATAAGAATTAAAGGGTACTTTTTTCTTTCACTCAGGTTTAGGTCTTCCACCTTCTGGAGAACTTCACATTTGGGTAAAGGAAGCTCAGCAGCTAGTCCCTCATAAAGCTGGGCATGTCAGCTCTTATGTAAAATGGTATAGTACCTGTCATATTTTTCTATTCTGTCATTGTTTTAACTTGTTCATATTGTTTTCCTAGCCAGACTTCCTTGTTTCTGCTTTGTCCTATTATCTAGTAATTTTACTTTCTGTGCAAGTCCTCAGTCACCTACCACCAACTTCTCAGTTATGTTCATGCATTGTCTAGTTGTGTCCTCCCTGATGACAGTCCATCCAGTATTCAGCGCACCAGAGTCATTCCACGTAGCTTACGACCCATGTACAATCATACTATGGTATATGACGGTTTCCGTTTAGAGGACCTGCCAGAAGCCTGCGTGGAGTTCACTGTCTGGGACCAAGGAACCTTATCTAGTAAACCACTAGGAGGTATTCGTCTCAGCGCTGGCAAAGGTAAAACTCTTCTGTCTACAGCTCCTTTTATTCTTCTGTCATATCTCTACCAGGATACCGATATTTCTAATAATATATTCATGTAAACAGTAAACAAATATACCCGAAGTGAGTCTGAAAATACGGTCAACAATAAATTAGTCCAGTAACAAGTGGGAACTTGCAGGAAACCTTCATCACTGTGAATAAAATGTATATATTCAGTGCGCATATATGTATACACTTTATGTATGCACATTGAGTGCATACATATAGTACAAACAAAAATGACTTGACTACATCATATTATTGTGTCAACCCTCCTCTGGCCCTTTCGAATCTGTAGATGATACCCAGGCTTGCTCATCCATCTAAGGCAGAGGTGTCAAACTCAATTTAATCGTGGGCCGCATCAACATTATGGTTGCCCTCAAAGGTATCTGTAAAACTATATAAATGTATCTAATCTTTATCATAATTGCCTCTGCATTCGATTATCACTGGTTTTAGCAATAACTTAATACCTAGATCAGAAAGTAGAAGTCTAGGAAATGGCCTGGTGGGCCGGATTCGGCCCCTGGGCCTTGAGTTTGACACATGTGATGTAAGGGCTTGTGTAAACAATCAAATGCAGTTTGCTGTCAGGTGCATTCAGCTTGATTAAGGGATCAATTTGAGGTTCTTCTGTGTTTCATTTAATTTCCTTTGCAGGTTCCTCTAACCTGCTGCATCAAGCAGCTTTTTACATTCCCATTGACTTGTATGGTGAGAAAAGCAGTTCTGCTGTACCTGCTGCTGCTGCTGCTTTTTCACTATCCAGTCTCTATGCTGATGACACCCAAATCTATCTCTCCACCGCTCAGCTTCTATCTCCTAACGCATCACTACGCATCACTACGCATCACTAATCTACTCCCTGACATATCAACATGGATGTCACACCACTTCCTCAAACTAAATCTGTCTGTGTCCTCTCCCCTAACTTCTCCATCACAATCAACAGCACCATGATCAACCCTCCCGTCAAGCTAGGGTGCTCGGTGCAATCCTTCATCATTCTGAGCTCTCCTTTCAGCCCAAATCCAATCACTATTCAAATCTTGCCGACTCAACTTCCTTAACATTTCCAAAATGTGCCCCTTTTTAACAAATGACACCGCAAAGCTTCTAATTCACTCTCTTGTCATATCTCGCTTCGACTACTGTAACTCCCTCCTTGTTTGCCTACTTCTAAACAGGCTATCCCCCCTTCAATCTATCATGAACGCCTCTGCCAGACTCATCCACCTTACCAACCGTTCAGCGTCTGCCAGCCCTCTCTGCCAGTTCTCTCTGCCCCCACTTGCCAAATGAATAAAATTCAATATACTAACAATAACATACAAAGCCATCTTTGACTCTGCCCCAAACTACATCACCAACCTCTTCTCAAAATATCACCTAAACCTCCCTCTTCAGTCCTCCCAAAACCTCCTGCTTTTCAGCTCCCTCGTCACCTCCTCCCATGTTTACCTCCAGGATTTCTCCAGAGTGTCTCCCATCCCCTGGAACTCCCTACCCCAACCTATCCGCTTATCTCCCACTCTGTCCACCTTTAGGTGATCCTGGACAACTCATTTCTTCAGGGAAGCCTATTTCACCTCGACACAACTGTCCTTTCACTTCTTCCAATAAATCATCCCTTTCAATTATTACATTTTGTTTCACTTGCCCCTCCTACTAGATTGTAAGCTCTCACGAGCAGCGCCCTCCTAAACGTCAAGTATTGAAACTGTATTGTTAGCTGTATTGTTTCCTGGCATTTTGTAAAGCGCTGTGCAAACTGTTGGTGCTATATAAATCCTGTATAATAATAATAATGAGGCTCGGGGTAGAGTAAGGACACCATTGTGTTCCATGACTGTAAGTGGTGTCATCCACCTGGCTGTGATATGTGCTGGGCTGGGTGGACAGGAATACAATTCCTTTGGCAGCTAAAATGGCTTCTTTATATGAGTTTGTGTATGTGGCTGTTAGCCTGGTGTTCACATTTAATGGTTTTGCTTTGAAAATGAGGAGATAAGTCAGCTATTTGTAGACCTGTTTTCATGTGTTGCAGGTAGCAGTTATGAAGTTCCTGTGAGCTGGATGGATTCTACTGAACAGGAGAAGAAATTCTGGGAAACGGTTATGAATAGACAAGGGGAATGGTCAGAAGTGACACTGCCATTAAGACAGAATCTGACCCCTCGTTAACGTACAGGTAGTTATGGTATGTAACACCATTTCTCATTCAGCACATAAATATACCATGCCTGACACTAAAGCAAGATGTGACCTCTTAGAAAAAAGGCACCAAGAGGACTTTTGGAAGATATGATGCTGCCCAGTGGATTATATTTCTTTAAAAGAGCTGTATTTAAATGTATAAACCGGTTATGACTGTTAAATTGGCACTCAATGATGCCAACATAATGCAAAGTAGAATACGATAACCATGACAGAGGCAATGCCATTACCAAATACAGATGTAGAAAAACTTGTGTCATTGTAACAATAAAAGCTGTACACTTTTGTGTGTATTTTAAGAATGTTCCAATTATGTTTCGATATTACTACGACTGTTTAAGATGTTAAACCAATTATTTTAAAAATAAAGCTGCCCATACACTGGTAGATTTTCATGCGAACATTCATCACATTGGAACATTTGATAATGCCATCAGAGACTTGTAGAATTTCATTCAAAAATTCAGTTGGATTTTAACATTCAGTGTGTTCAGGAATGAATAGAGATTTATGAACAAGAAAACAGATTCGCTGTCAGAATTGCATTAGTTTGAGATACATTTTCCATCTTCAATCATTTTTTTTTTCAACACTACTGTTGTAAATTATATTAGGTGTGATTTCTTTGACTATTAGAAAATCAAAAGAACATTCTGAAAAAAATTATTTTGAATAGTGATGTATGGCCAGCTTAAGGAAGACAGGGCAACTATTGTATGATCGAATATAAAATGTTGTAAAGACGCCTCTCTAACACTGGAAACATTCAGTAACCAGATTATTCAGAGATGCGTGATGGGGGACATTTATCAAGCAAATTAGCAACAGAGCTGCAAATTACTTAGCAAAGTCTCTGGATAGGTTTACTGTGTATCTGTGACCCCTGCTTCTGAATTTCTAGGCAGCCAACTGAGAAAGATTTGCATGGTCTGCAACAGATTAATTACTGAAGATCCAACAGATTTTTCTTCTAAACAGATGCATAATTAAGAAGTGGTCGGGGGTCATGTCTTATTGGAATTTATGACTCAAACTGCAACTTGAAATAAATCTGTTTCACGATCTGTCTCACTGCTCCTGTTTAGCATTACCTTGCTGTGCAACAGAACCTTCCTGAGAAATCCTGTGATTTTACTTTGGAAGATGAACATGCATACATACGATATGTGATACCTAAAGTAGAACTCTAGCCAAAACATTTTTGTAATGTTAAATTAGGTGGATCATGGTTAGAACCTCTGTGAATAAGTTAGCGGAATACTTTGACAGTTGTCACTAAGACAAGTAACAACTATAAATGTTGTATTTACCTTTTTGGTTTGTCAGGTGACAGTTGTTGCAAAGAAATGTGATAAGAGTGAAAAATACCTGACAAAGATTCTAAGGTTCCCCAATTTGCATCAACTACAACAAAAATGTTGGCTGAGGTTTCAATTTTAAAATTCCATCATATTGTACCTACAAATGGGCTTATACATTAAGAAAATGCATGGCACGCTGAGCTCTTCAAAGTGTAATAACCTATAGTAACCTGTTATATCCTAATTGAGCTGATTGCAGTAACCTGAATTCTGATAGCTTGCTATGGGATACAACAATCTGAATTTACACAAGTCCATTTGTCTTTTTTAAAAGTCCATAAATCTGCTTTTTTTTATCAGGCTTATTACGTTTTAGTTCAGTTTGTCTTATTCAACAGAGCAGTAAAAAGAATAATGGCGATGTTTAGCTATATCATTCCATAATAACAAATAATTTAGCATCCTGTAGCATTCTGATTTCTTATTGGTTTCCTAGTCTTACTGCACCTTGTACTTCATCAATACTCTTTGAGCTAAGTGAAAAAGCTTGAAGAATGCAAACAGTTTAGCACAACAACCAGTAACCTGTAGTAAATATCATTTATTTTTCAGTGATCTGACAACAATAAAGCGAAATGTGATTGGTTGTTTGTGGTTATCATTATTTTTTGCAGCGTCTTTCTGAAATTTACATGTGCGCTTGCATAAAAAAACAGAGAAATCTTACAGCATCTTCACTGCTGTTAATAGGTGTAATCATGTACAGTATCTGATTCTGGGCCATTGGTTGCCATGCACAGCTGCTCCAGATTCTGTCTGATCCAGTCTTATTAAATTCCACTCAGTTTCTTTATATAATTATCGTATGTGTATTTAAGTACAATACCTGATCAATTTATTAACTATAAACATAAAACATCATAATGCCTGTAGGTGTCACTATTGCTATTTGTAAAGACATTTAGACAAAAATTGTGATACTTTACCATCAAAGCCAAAATCCTAAATCAGTCAGTGGTGAGGCCGGAGGATCAACATCTTTGCCAAACCTCTAGTACTTTGAAAAGGAGGCCAGCAATAGAGACCTATGTAATTTTCTGCATTGCATGGGGTTTTTAAAGAAAACCGGGTAAACCTTTTATTAACCCTTGCAGTGGGACTACCCCCGCATTTATGAGTCATCACAAATCTTTTGTGAAACACAAATGTTCTCACAATGAGCTCTTTTAAAGAAAGTGTTCAGATATCATAAATAGAGTCCAAGGGTTAGAACCCCTATCAGGACTTTATTGGTGGTTGTATTTGTTCTATTTGGCATCGGGCAGAAAGTGATGGGAAATCCAGAAAGAGGTGAGTGATAACCTTCAAATGGAGACACCTATTCAAGTGACATCTAATCGGGAATTTCCCTTTGCTTTGGAAAGATTTTCACTCTTCCTGTGGTTCCTGGACAGGAGGGTAAAGTGTCACGAAAGTCATAAAACAAACATTTCGTACTTGCTTCAGCATGCCATGTAAACATCTCTCCCCCTGTATCTTTAATATTCTATGCCCATTTAGTCCCCAAAAATACCTTTAAATAGATGCTGAGAACCACATTCACATACATTTCCTCTATGCCTTTGTCCACATTTCACTGCCTTTCTAATATCTCTCATTGTTGTCACACATGCAGAAGCACTGTGCTCAGAACCTAGTACACTGCTTTTTTTTTTTTACTGCTTCTCACAGCTTCATCCCTCCTCCCTAAGTACCCATTCACACATAGGCGGTCGTGTGTGTTTGTGCGAGTTTTCTTTCCATATCTGTCACGTATCCCTATTGATTCCAGCGGGTTCCTGTACACTTGAGAAACGCAGAAAAGAAGCTCATGTAGAAAATAAATGCATGTAGAAGATGTGCGATTTCCCGGCTGCATTCGAGGTGACATTAACTAGTAATAGCAATGCAAGCGCGTTTCACATTTGTTCACATTTTGGGGATGTACATCAAAGCGCGCATTTTTATGCCCATTTTACACACATTCCCAAAATGTCTAGGTGTGAATGGGGACTTACTGTATGTGCTACCCACATCTCCAACCACTTTTTTGCCAGCCTCTCCTACAGCTTGGAGCCGAGCTCCATGTGACATTGTGGGAAATTGAGATGCCCTGGAAACACAATAAAACAACAGAAGCTGTTACTCAAGGATAGGCAATGATATGCAGTGTTTTTAACAAAACTTTTCATTTATTTCACAATGCTTGTTCTGAAAACCTAATGTGATGTTGGTACCCGGCCAACATCACATGATGTTGGTGCCGGTAGCCAGCCAAGAGCCAATAAGGGCTAAATAAACGAGCCCCCTCACTAAAAAAGATGGGTGACCGTGGCACAGAGCAGGCAAAATGTAAGTGAATTGGAAGCTGTTTTAGGGAAAGTAAAGGAAAAGCTTACAGACCGTATATGTAGAGATTAGGGTCAGCCAGGAAACTCTACTTTAATTCTGGTTGCTAGTTTTTTGGACAATCAACTGCTAGGCTGCCTTCTTTTGTGTTCTAATTATTGAGGCTTTATGCCTTTCATCTTATTTTCTGGTTGATTTAAGGTCAGCAGTCATTTTTAGTTGCTGTGACTGTCCGAGCCCCCCAAGTGGTGGAACTACTCTGGTAGTTCCACCACTTGGGGGGCCCGGACAGGAGAAAGAGGGCCCGTTAACTGCAGAGGTACCGACATTGCCTCCTTGGACTACAGCTCCCAACATGCAGCAGACCAACTCTACGTGGCTGGTCAGCTTTTTTTTTCATAAGGGTCTCTAAAATGCCTTGTCTGCCTTGTCTGTGTCTCCACATTTTAGACTATTCTACCTTGTCACGTTTATGAACAGTCCCAGTACTGGCTAATTTTTACAAAATCATGTCTAAGGGCTATAGCTCTGCTCTTTTTAACGAAATGGATATACAGGGATCTGGCAGGGGTTTGTGGTGCACTTGGGGTAAGTCTATGCCGTGGTTTGGGTCTATAATGGTTTTTTTTTTTTTTTTAAAGGATACAGTGAGGTACTGTGAAAAAGGGACCTCTTCAACAGATTGTTAGTATCAATTGCCTGATATGCTCTATTTACCCCAAACTAAAAGCTATAATCTAACAGGGTTATTCACAAAAGAAGAGGGTTTGGAGAAGGCAGGAGAAGTGGACAATCTAGGCTATTTTGGCCTAGATTGTTCACATCTCCTGCCTTCTCCAAACTCTTCACCCTTTTGTGTGTAGCTCTTACCCCCGAAGGAGCCGCTGAATGCCCGGTTCATCTCTAGTCTGTCTAGGGTATGTTCTTCAGCTGCCCACCCATTGGCATTAACCGCCCTTCTTCTAGTGCCCAGATACTGATGTCTACTCCAGTAGTATAATGCAAAATAAGGATATGGGGATTCTAAGCTTCCAGGGGTAACTGACAAGAGCTCCAGACTCACCAGACCTTGTTAGCATATCAGTGTAGATCCACTGAGGAGGCAGCAGATGGTGCTTGATGTAGCAGATGAGCAAGGATGGACACAGATCCACAACAGGAAAGACATCGACCATACTCCTGAAGTCCTCTTAGTTCCAGGATTCTTCAAGAACCAGCATTGGTCCTGGGTCTCTTCCTCTTTCAGCAACACAGGCCTCCTATTATAAATCATACCAGGCTGACTACAGCCCTGGCTATCACTAACAGGGTTATTCACTAAAGGGTGAAGAGTTTGGAGAAGACAGGAGAAGTGAACAATCTAGGACAACATAGCTGATTTGGAAAAATTCTCCAATTCAGCTCACTTTCCAGTTCAGCTATGTTGTCCTAGATTGTTCACTTATTCTGCCTTCTCCAAACTCTTCACCCTTTTG